AAAACTAAAAGGTAAACCACAAACAACAACCATTTTAGTAAAGTTTTCACGATCACGATCCTTGTTATAGGTTCGATGTGTAAGAGGACCACTTGGGTTCGAAGTATTTAATTCACTTTGAACCATATTTGATCCTCTAGCCGATGTTTCAACACTACAATTTTCACCAACTTCAAGAGAAGACATATATGCAAACCACTCTTTATTATGCTTGTTAATCAAATATTTTTTTAGTCCCCCTGTTGAACCTCCAGTCCCACCATATGTATATTTAAAATGTTGTTTACAAATATTACATATACAAAAAGTTTTTTCTTCATTCAAATAACAAAATTTCGACACATGTGATTTTAAAGAACGTTGTACCTTGGTCTTACCTCTAGTTGGAATAATAGGGGAACGAGTAGTTCCAACCGGAGGTGGAGCTTTAGTACCTATACTATTGAGGTCGGGGTTAGTCGGTGTATCATCTAAATCTATTTCTTCATCTAAATTTAATTGTTCATCCATTTCCACTTCTTCATTTTCTTGATTGATACCATATGTCATTCATAGAGTTCAGGGGGAATCATAGGAGTACCCGAATTAATATTTATAGGGATGGGACGGGAAAAACTAGTTTCATTCACATGTGTAAATTCATCCGTATTGATTCTAACAAGAGGAATTTTAGATTTAGAAGAACTAACACCTTTATTAGTTTTGTTAACTAAATTTTTTACTGATTCTACTAGACCTTTTTTACTTTCACTTTTTTTAGAAGACCCCATGATATAAAATTATAAATTACAAAATAGAAACTTAACAAGAACAATAATATAATAAGAACAACTTACAAGTTACAAATAATAAATACAAAAAATAAGTATAAGATTAGAGAGTGAAACGAAGTTACCAAACGTTTGTGTAAGAATAAACGACTATTAAATGAAAATTAAAATATTGATATCGAAACTTGAAATTTGAAGAAGATTCCTCCTCCGAAATACACCAAATGACCAAATCACCAAATGATATTAAGAATTTAGAACTTGAATTGAATATTGAAAGTCTGAAATTTTATAATTTATAATCCGTAATCGCTAAAACTTAGAAATATGAATGGAAATATATATTCTCTCAAACTTATGTGTATATATAGAGTTTTTAGAAATCAATTCTGATTTATAAAACAGAAAAAGTAGTTGTTTTAATTTTTCCACTTTAAAACAACCGTTGAAAAAAGGGAAGGGGAAACGAAAATGCCGAATGGGGGGGTTGGAAAGGGGGTTGCAGCTTTATCAAAAGCTACAGGGCAGGGGCAGGTGGTCAGGGGCTCAGGGCAACTTTGAATAAAGATGCCGCCTGCCAAGTGTCAGGGAAGGGGAGGGTGTGGTGGGTAATTAATTTTAATATATAGAAATTATATAAAATATAATTTCTATAAAATATAAAATATAAATTATATAAAATATAAATTATATAAAATATAAATTATATAAAATATAAAAAAATCAATATATATTAAGTTAAACGGACCGGAACCGGGATGAACCGATATTGGTACACCTGTATCAAACCACGTATCCGTCCCGTTCCATGTACCGGTTCAGACTATCCCGTTCCGTTCCGCATGCAACCGAAACGGGATGAACTTGAACGAATCGGAACGGTACCGATACGTCCCGTTCCGTCGCCCAATCTTAGGTGAACATGATAATGGAGAAAATAGCATAAAGAAAATCCTAAAACTCATCTATGATTATCTACCATCTCCACATCTGAAAAAAGGCTTTGCTTACTGTGCAATGTTTCCAAAAGATTTTGAGTTTGAAAAGGACTAGCTAATCCAACTCTGGATGGCAGAAGGCTTTCTCCATTCATGTCAAGAGATCACCGTAATGGATGTTATCGGGAACAAGTTCTTTCAACTCTTGTTGCGAAATTCCTTGCTACAAGATGTTAAGTTAGATGAGCACAATATTACACACTGTAAGATGCACGATCTTGTGCATGATTTGGCTGGAGATATCTTCAAATCTAAACTATTTGATACGATTGGCGATGGTAGAGAAAATCTTCCTCAAGTGCGATGCTTTGGATGGGACTCCCCAAGTGATCAAATAGATAAGATAAATGAGTCAGGAAATTTGTGCACATTGTTTTGGAAAAGCAATTATATATTGGAAGATATGCTGTTGAGTTTTAAGTTCTTGAGAGTTTTAAATTTGTCCAGTTCAGGAATCAAGGAGTTGTCAGCCAAAATCGGGAAGCTAATATACTTGAAACATCTTGATCTCTCAGACACTAACATCACAGCCTTGCCCCACTCCATTTGCGAGCTCTATAATTTGCAAAAATTTAGAGTAAATGGCTGTTATTCACTCGGTGAACTTCCATTTGAGATGGGAAATATGATAAGTTTGAGACACATATTTCCATTCTCGGTCTCAGATGCCACTAAACATGGGACAATTGACTTCTCTTCATACTCTACAATTTTTCAATGTGGGTTTAGAGAAAGGTCGTCGTATAGAAGAATTAGGTCGTCTGAAGGACCTTAGAGGTGAATTGACAATCAATGATCTCCAATTGGTCCGTAATAGAGAAGAAGCTTGAACAACATATTTACAAGAGAAATCAAATGTTTACAAGCTGTCATATGTGTGGTTCCATGATGAACAAGAATGCTGTGAAACCATTGATGAGAATATGTTGGATGGTCTTCAACCGTATCCTAACTTGAAAACCTTAGAAGTGAAGAACTATTTGGGTACTAGATTTCCTTTATGGTTTAGAGACGAATTGCTACCAAACTTGATCAACTTGAAAGTAAGTGGTTGCAAAAGATGCAAAGAAATTCCATCGCTTGGCCAACTGAAATTCCTTCAGCATCTTGAGCTGTTAGGGTTACATAAGGTAGAATGCATCAAACCTACCTTTTATAGTATTGATGGTAATAATATTGGATAAAGCAGCAATATCCAAGTGTTCCCATCATTGAAAGAACTAGTGTAAGAGGATATGCCTAGCCTTATTGAGTGGAAGGGAGATGAAGTTGGAGTAAGAATGTTCTCTAGGCTTGAGAAGTTGAGGATTAGTAACTGTCCATTGTTAAAAGTACTCCAAGTCAATTTGAAATCCTCCGTGAATTAACAATTGAAGAAGTTGACAGTAAAATGCCATTGTTGAACTTGTGCAGCAACTTGACTTCTCTCATAACACTTGGTGTCTATTCTGTGAAAGAGCTCACTTATGTTCCAGATGAGATGCTATGCAACAACGTTTCACTTCAACACCTATGGATCTCAGACTGCAGAGAGTTTCAAGAATTGCCACAAAGCTTGTACAATCTCCATTCTCTTAAGAGCTGAAGGATTAACCTCTGCACCAATTTCAGTTCCTTTCCTGTTCCCACTGGAGAGAATTATTTGACTTCCCTCCAAAGTTTTCGATTATGGAACTGTGATGGATTGACCAGTCTACCAAGTGGGATGCTAGAGCATTGTCGATCTCTGAAATCTTTGAAGGTCTTCAACTGTAACAACTTAATTTCCTTCCCTTTACATATTGGGAAAATGCCTTCACTTTCATATTTGAATATATCACAATGTCCCAAATTAATTCGTGTACTCGCAGGGGGACTTCACCATCTCATTGGGTTACTGAATTTGGAAATTGGTCCTTTCTCAGAAATGGTGGATTTTGAGGCATTCCAATATATTTTTAATGGCATTCAGCAGCTATTGTCCCTTCGTAGGTTGTGTGTATTTGGACATTTGCACTGGGATTCTCTCCCCTATCAGCTTATGCAACTCTCTGACCCAAGACATATCCATATATATGATTTCGGAATCCAGGCTCTTCCTCATAGATTGGAGAACCTTACTTCTCTTGAAACATTAGAGCTAACGAGGTGCAAACGACTACAACATCTGGACTTCTCAGATGCCATGCCCAAATTACAGCATCTCCATATCCAGGATTGTCCATTGTTAGAAGCTCTCGGTAACCTTGTTTCTTTGCAAGAGTTAGTTTTATGGACATGCGAGAAACTAGAGCATCTGCCATCTAAAGATGCCATGTAACGCCTCACCAAATTGTGGAACCTGGAAATTAAGGGCTACCCAAAGTTAGAAGAAAGTTGCACAAATCGGAGTGGCCTAATCTCCCAATGGTCCAACATTTCCCATATTCCAAAAATTAAACTAGGTGGAAGCATAATTCAGAACTTGAGTAAGTTTCTGTTTCTCTTTCAGTTTTTGAGTCTCATTTTTTTATTTTAATTTTGCACGAGTTACTCTCCTCCATTATCCTTTTATAGTTCAAAACATTTTTTCGTTCCACTTGAAACAAAACTTATAAATATCTAAATTACTTTTAAGATATGATTTAATCATGAGTATTTATGTGTTTTTTCTTCCCTCCAGAGATGCCATGAAACTTCTCACCAAATTACAGAACTTGGAAATTTAAGGCTGCCCAAAGTTAGAAGAAAGTAGCTCAAATTCTGCCACCTATATCCGCCCTTTCTCTCACAATTCGTGCAACTTCTTCCTATGCTGATGAGATCGTTAAGACCACTGTAAGTAAGTTTCATTGCGTTCATAATGAGTTTAACTTTAGTACACTTACATGGCAATGTACAATTTTGTTGCCAAGTTAATGTGCCTCACCACATAACGTGTAACCGTCAATAGTAATTCTAATTTGGTTATCTAAAGATGTTAATAAGACCTAAAAAACCATTGATGATGTAGTAGTTTCCACATTGTTAGTGAATACTGTCTCAGTCTCAAATGAACTGTCATCATTCTCTTTCACATGACCATTAAGAAATATTAATTAGGAGTTTTTTTTTTTTTTTGGTTTACTAGTTTACCCTTCGTTGGTATTTGGACAATCATAACATCACACCATAATTTAGGAATTTGTAGTCATCAAGAACAATCAAGTTGAGCAAGACGTGAAATGTGTCAAAGTTAATTAACTGAAGGACTAATGTAACATTATATTCCTAATCAACAACTGTGTGTGGTAATGTGCAGAAGACAAATGCAACACCAGGGTGTGGAATATTGGCGATAGATGAGTCAAATCTTACCTGCGGAAAGCGTCTGGCATCCATTGGGCTAGAGAATACTGAGGCTAATCGCCAAGCTTACAGAACACTGCTTGTGACAGCTCCAGGTCTAGGACAGACTGACAGTTCATCTCTGGTGCCATTCTGTTTGAAGAGACCCTCTACCAATCCACAACTGATGGCCAAAAACTGGTTGATGTTCTTGTTAAACAAAACATTGTTCCTGGTATCAAAGTTGACAAGGTATAGTTGTCTAATTTAACCAAGTAAACTCGTACGATACTAGTTTGGCTTGAAATTCTGTTTTCAAATAAAAGAGGATTGTTGTAGGTTGATAGCTAGCATCAATTTTTTTATTGTAATAAATTCTCTTCTTAACAAATCTAACTAGCTAGTCTCATAATGAGGTGTAGTAAAATTGACTGGTACTAGGCTACCAGCTGAGCTTGAGTAGGAGTTATGTCCCACATCGGTACAACTGTGTGCCTTGGGATCTCCCACCACAATAACTAACTTTTGGAGTGTGGTTCTCTGTGGATTATAACAATGGTATTAGAACCACCCATCACCCGGTCATGCCTGTTTGAAGCTTTGACTACACGTTTCAAGCTTAGTTAATGAGCAAAAAAGATAGTTCTCATCTAAATTTGTACGAAAATGATCATCTAATAATCTTTGATGATTAAAACAGGGTTTGGTTCCCCTTGCTGGTTCAAATGATGAGTCATGGTGTCAAGGTCTCGATGGTATTACCTCATGCACTGCTGCTTACTACCAACAAGGAGCTCGATTTGCCAAATGGTAACAACTTTTAGAAAGTGATGAGTTATTTTCTATATGATTTTATCTTATGACTACTGACTAAGATCATATGCTTAACATTTTTGATAATGTTAGGCGTACCGTAGTAACCATTCCCAACGAAGCATCTGCATTGGCAGTGAAGGAAGCAGCATTGGGTTAAGCTCGCTACGCAGCCATTTATCAGGACAGTAGTTTGATCCCAATGGTCTGCCAGAAACATTGCTGGATGGTAACCATGGCATTGACAAGACTTTTGAGGTTGCGCAAAAGGTCTGGGCTGAGGTCTTTTGTTTATCTAGCTGAGAACAATGTCATGTTTGAGGGTATTCTCCTCAAGCCAAGTATGATCACTCCTGGTGCTGAATGCTAAGCCAACGCCACTCCAGAGCAAATTGCTGATTATACTTTTACAATTCTCCAAAGAAGAATTCCCCCAGCTGTCCCTGGAATCATGGCAAGTTTCCTCCTCATTATACGCTATTACCAAATTGTTTTAACTTGTATAAACGGTTAGTTTGAAGAACTTTGCACAGTCAAATCACATAAAAGATGTATGATTGGAAATAAGTGGAACAAGTTACCAGGATAATACGGCAGACTACCAGCATAGGTTGTAAATAGACGAAAAAAGTGAGTGAAACTTTTTGAGGTTACAAACAACATTAACTTTTATACAAGGTAGGAGATTATTACCTTTACTCATGCTAACAAGATCAATGCGCGCTGTTGTGATTTGAACAGTTCTTATCTGGTGGACAATCAGAAGTTGAGGCTACCTTCAACTTGAATGCCATGAATAAATCTCCAAACCCGTGGCATGTGTCCTTCTCCTGCGCTAGGGCGCTTCAAAACACTTTCTTGAAGACATGGGGAGGACTCCCTGAGAGTGTGAAGGCTGCTCAGGACGCGTTGCTAATCAGTGTTAAGTCTGAGTCTCTTGCTCAGCTTGGCAAATACACTGGCGAGGGTGACTCAGACGAAGCTAAACAAGGAATGAGTTCAGAAGGAATGTGTACTAAGGACAAATAAAAAGGGACATCGAGGCTTCATTGGACAATTAAAGAAGGAAATGTTTGGTTTCCTTTTCTGTTCCAACAGAGGCTTCCTAGGATAGAAGAGGCCTTGGTAAATTGATCACAGATGATCGGATTGTCATTGAAAATTGTATAGCTCACCTTATTTACCCAGACAGGAGGACTGTTCATCTGCATTTAGTATATGCAGAAGTTCTACACGCGATTCCAATATGAATCAGATGAGCCATGTGTATGCTAGCTAGCTCCTTCTCGAATAATCAGCTACGTCTAATATCAGATTTATACAAAAAAGTTTATCTAAAAGCAGGATAGAATTGACCAAATAGACTATTTATAACAACCATATGATTTTATTTAAACTTGATTTTTATACACAAAACAATGGTATCTTCAAGTAAAAATCAATTGGTTTTTTCCCTTGGCTGACTAGAAAGCTTATGCTAAAATAATCAAGAATCAGTCTTGTCTTCTGCTCTCTTATACTCCGGCTTCAGCTCATAAGTGCCTTGATGAGCACCCTTATTATTGTAAATGCAGAGTAGTTTGAGCATGTCTTTCATAAATTGCTCGGGCTGGTCCGTCTCTTGGACGAGCTGTTTCAGCGTCCAATTTGATTGCCTCTCAAACAGTTTGAACATAATTTCTTCCATTTCATCACGATCTCTTCTTGTTCTTTTCATTTCTAATCCTTTACTAGGCACCTTCTTCTTCTCTGCAGTAGATCCAGAAGCCTTAGTTGCGAAAAATCCAGGCATAGGCCTCATATGTTTAGCATTATCATTATCAATAACCTGAATTTGTCTACTTTTCGTCATGTATTTATTCGTCCTTTCTCGACATAATTTCCCGTAATTCTCAATGTTTTCATGATGAGGCTTCACGTCAAATTTGTGATATATCTTCCCTTCAACCGAAACCCTTCCTTGACCCGATTCGGAAAATATCGACATTGGGATAAAATCTGTTGACATATCCATCGAGTAGTGAGTCGGCATGTTTCCAGATGAAGTTCCGGCCAATTCCATGGTGAATTGAGTTGAATCATTGGCGATTAGAGGATCAACGACGACGGTGACTTTGGCAACAGGTCTCGGAGGATTAAAAGAAAGATCAGTTTCAACGGAAGTAGAGTGTTGATGCTGTTCGAAGAATCGAGAGACCACGGTAGGGCATTTCATCAACCATACACGTCGGTCTGCATTTCTCGTATCCAAATTGTTGTTGGTTGTAACACCGTGCACGGTGGTTTTAGGGTTCGCTCCGGTGATTTTCTCCGCCATGTATGTGTTGTTAAATTCCTCTTTTAAAATTGTGAGGGTAACAACATTTTGTGACTATTTAAAGGAATTCGTCTTTCTCTCTAACGAACTGACAAGTATTAAATTAAAAAATAAATAAATGAGGCTTCTTAATTTAAGCTTATTGATTTTATTGATCTCATTTACAAATTCAATGAATTAGAGATAATATTTATTTTTTAACCTAAAATCGGAGTGTTTGACTATATTCAGAGATAATATTTTAATGATCAACTTTTACATAAACATAAAATCATATTTATATGTTAGGCAGAATAGCCCAGTGGACCCTCATACTTATATAGGATTGTATTATGGATATTCATACTTAGCTTTTTGTCATCTGAACCCCTGAACCCATCCAAAACTAATATTTTAAGCACTTTTTTTATGTGGCATCCTATGTGGAATTTACCCACATGGAGCGTGTGATTCAGTCGAAGGAAGAGCGCGAGATGTCTTAAAAAGGACTAATGGTCATATTTTGACCTTTAAAGGATATTTCTTCTTCTTTAATTCACTCAACACTATTGTTAATGCCTTTTTGAGCTTTTTTCTTTCTTTTTTTCTCAATCTTGTCTCTGTAAAAAATCTCTTTTATATTTGGGGTCTTTTATTTTTTCCTTCAATCTACTCGTCTCTTTTTTTGTTTTGTTTGATTCTATTGTATTTTTGTTGGTATTCATGATAACAGTTCGATGTTGCTACTGTGGAATATATGCTGAACTAAAGACATCAAGAACACCAACTAATCTTGGAAGAATGTTTTGGGGCTGCCAAAAATATTCATCCGGTAATGGGTGTGGATTCTTCCGATGGGCTGATGCTAATGAACAATACAACATCAACAATTCATCAACGAGTTCAAGGCAAGTAAGACAATGAACACATAAAAGACAACGAAGGCATTGAAAACAAGGATCAAACACTAGTATTGATATCACTGTTATTGTGATTGTTGTTATTTGGTTTGTCGCTGTTATATTTAAGATATATTGATTTGTACTATCTTTGATAATGAAATTGATTGCATTTACGTCAGAAATCTGAATAACTTCATTCAAGCACAAATTCGTACAAGAAAAATAAAGTCTTCCCAGTAGCAACTTAACACAAATTCATATACAAAATAGTCGGGATCAAGTCATTAACCAGTCATTAATCAAAATAAAGTTAGTTGGGATCATGTCATTAAGCTAAATAAAGTGAAATCTAATGTGTGCCTTGAGTGCTTGGTGTGCCTTGAGTGCTTCTGTAACTTTCCTATCGTAGCTGCCTTTGAGTAATTGTAGCTCTTCCCTTCCACCTTAGTCCTTTGGGTTTGTAACCAAGATCAATATTGGTAGGAGTTGAACTTGTCAATGTAGCACTATGTAATACCCAATCAATATTTTCAGACTGAGAGAATAACAAATGTCTTAACCCGGAGATGAACTAATATCAATTAAAGCAATTTAATGTGTTTAAATGATGAAATACATACACTCTCATTTACACTACCACCTGATCCAAATAAGAGACCATAACCAGTTGTCTTCGCTTGTTTTTGTCTTGGTTTCTTATAGGCAAGAGATGCACCTCCTCTCAAGGCTGTGCTAGTTTTTCTTTTTTGGCCAGTTGCTCTAGAAGTTGATTGTTGAGTGAAACTTGAAACTTCCCTTGGACTTGCACATGGAACTTCCCTTGGACCTTCACTTGGAACTGCCCTAGGACCTGCACATTTATCTGCACATGGAACTTTCCTTGAACTTTCACTTAGAACTGCCCTTGGACCTGCACTTGGATCTGCACATGGAACTTCCCTTGGACCTGCACATGGAACTTTCTTTTGGACCTTCACTTGGACCTGCACATCGAGTTCCAGTAGCAACATTTGAAGTTCCAGCACTTGCATCACTTGTTCCAGCAGCGACATTTTTCTACAAGCATATAGACATTAAAGCACAACTTACCAAAGTATAACAAGAGTAAAATTCAATAACAAAGAGACATGAAGACTCAACTTATCAGAGTTGGACATCCTTTCTTGTTATGTCAAAAAGTCTTACACACAGAACATTTCATTTTTCTTCCCTTCCCTGTAGCCTTTTCAAACTTCTTCTTGACTGGCTCATCACTATATTTTCTCCTATTTTTTCCCGGTCTTCCTGGCATGGATGTTATTTCAGATGGTCCAGTGGCTGCTCTATCACTTTTTGGCCACATCTTCATGTTTGTCATAGGTTGAATAAATCTGTTATACGCTTTCAGGTATGTTTCTTTTGTATACCAATGGCCAACAAATGACTCAACAACTCAATCCTTAAAATGAATTGTTGTAAGTGCATGACCACAAGGAATTCCCTTTAATTGCCATGACCTATAACAACACACCTTCTTTTTTAGGTCAACAACATGTTTATATGGTGGATCATGAATTTCAAAGCCAAAATCAACCATTAAACCTTATCTCACAATTATCTGCAATTTCAACATTTTTTCTAAGAATGTCCATAGCCATAAGTGATACATCAGTAATCCATTTTTCTGAAAATTCTCTCATTTGATTCATTCTTTCCATAACTTTGACTCTTATTTCCTCTAGCATAGTGATTATTGATTTGAACCTAGCACCTACAATTCAACTATTGGAAGTCTCACACATGTTGTTCTCATCCACATCACACTTGCTATGTTCTTTAAAATATGCCCTACATCATGTTTCCTTATTATACTTTAACAGTGCTTCTATAATGCCTTCTCCTAACTCACTTAAATCATCAAGTTTGGACTGTAAAAGTACCTCAAATGGTGCCCTAGAAACCTGTCTGAATTTTCTTCTCCTTTCTTCGCCCCTCCAGTCTTTCTTTCAGTTTGCCCATATATGCTTAGCACACCATCTGATTTCAGCATTTGAAAATACATCAATAAATGCAAGATGAAGACCTGTCAAACAAGAACAGTTGAATACAACAATATCAAAAACTTCAAAAATAAAAGAATTAATTTGACAAATACTATAGTAATACCTTCTGCATATCAGACATCACTGTTAGTCCTTCACCTTCTTTAAGCTCCAAATCATGTCTGATGCACTTGAGAAACCAAGACCATGTCTCCTTGGTTCTTTATCAACTACTGCCCATGCTATAGGGTACATCTGATTATTTCCATCTTTGAAAATGCAAGTTAACAATCCACCTTTAAGAAATGCACCATCTAAACCAATAATCCTTCTACACTCCTCTTTCCATTCACTTTTTAAGGAACCAAGACAAATATAAATGCTCATAAACACTTCTTTTTCTGGAATTGTGTTCTTGGATGTCCTAATAGATACAGTAGTTTCAGAATTTGTGGTCTTTAATTGCTCAGCATAATCATACAACCTAGAAAACTCTTTTATAAAATCTCCCATATGTTCATTCATAACTATCAGTTTTGCCTTTCTACAACTTGTTTTACTAACATACAAACCATACTCCTTTTGTATCAAACATTGAATCTGATGTAGTTTGATGGTAGATTCACTCATAATCCTCTCTTTGTAATGTTTACTAATCCAAATGGGGTTACACAGTTTGTTTCTTGTTCTTTTAAAACACTTGTGAATTGAAAGATATGTTTTAACACTGAAGTTTCCAGTGTTACTATCAATACTTCCAAGAATATGCCAAGGACAATCTTTTTTCTTACAATGTGCCCTTACCCTTTC